TAAAAATTTTATTTTTTTATTTAAAATTAATATATTTTTTTAGTATTTTTTGATTTTTTTGATGGGGTAATATTAAAACTAATTTTTTAAAAATAATAAAATATTATTTTAATATATTTTTAAATAAAAAATATTTTAAAAAATAACCATAACCATATTTACAGCACACCTTTCACCTAGAAAAAGCCAATTGTCTTATTTAAATTACAATTAGATAAAAAAAATTCACATTATTCTCATTTTAACCTATCCTAGCTTAAAAGTGTATTTGAGTAGAAGTGTGATGATTTTTTTTTCAAATACACAATCTTTTTAAAACACAAACCACACTTAAGTTAAAAATATATACTTTTTATATACTCTTTGCATGAATTCCATGAAAAAAAACTAGCGATACAGTGGAGCTTCACCAGCCCTTCCATGGAAGGTACATAAGTAGCTTGAGTGATGAGCTTAAACGAGTTTTATTGAGCCACGTGTTGCCTGTCACATAACTTGTGATTGATACTCTGCGATGCGCGAGTCATCACTATTACCTAACCATCGTGAAGTCAACTCCAAAGTCTTTGGGTCTACAGCCCAAATTACCTAACCATGTATTCACTGTGGTCGGCTTGAATTTTTCGGTTGACTTGGGGTTAGCTGGACTAGAAGCTTTTTGACCAATATATGTTGTTTCATGATAAAATCTAATTAAATTATAAAAAAAGTACGGTACCGAAATATATCAAATTTGAGATCCAAAATCCTATTTAAAACATATAGCAAATTACAATAGTCAATTAACTCCCCTTAAGACAGTATGGCAGTAGCATAATCATCTACAAATTTAAGAATATTATATAAAGCTTTTTTTAATCCAAAATTCTTATAATATGGAGGAGAATGAGTTTAAACATTAAGAGTATTGTGAATATTAAAAGGGATTTTTATATTTTTTTTACTTGAAAGAACTAACTTATAGAATCATAAAAACACAAAGACTAAATCGTAATTTACTCAAGTAAATAGTTTTTTCTAGCTATTTTTAATCAAGAATCACGGTTTATTTAATTTAAATATTGTATTTTTTTAATAATTAAGAATATTGTACAGGTTAGGGGCAAATAGATGTTGGGTGTGAAACTACCCCTAAACTCTGCATTAAGAAAATTAGAATTCCTAATTAGAGATGAGAAATAAAAATAAAATTCCAAATTAAGGCTAAAAATCTAATAATAAAAATAATAGATTAACAAAAACAATTTTTCCCGAGCCTAAGTTGAACACTTTTCCAGCCTCCATTGGGTACAACAAGCTATCATGCTATAGAACTTGACTTACAAGAACCTGCTAGAAAAATTTCCAAAGGTCATATCAAAGAGTTATGATCCGTTTTTATTAGAAAGGTCATTTGATGTGATTAAATCTCTTTTTAGGTTTGGAATTGTTCATATTATTTAAAAATATAACTAAAGTATACTAGCTTGTCAAAAATAAAATTTGGTAATTAAACTAGCAAAGAAAAAACTCAAAGATTATTATGTATGCGAGGAGTTGGTGTCCAATCTCTCATAAAATATAAGATCTATTATTAAAATAATTTATGAGTTCTAAGAAATAGTATATTTTTCATACATGTAAAAATTCTTCTGACAAAAAGAAAGCAATCCAGGGAACATGAATAATTATTTTTTAAGTAAAATGACGATAGAGTGCAACTCCTAAAATAAGGGCGCGTGTGGTCCACTTGAAATTTTTTAAAATTCTAAAATTTTGTTTTTTATTTTAAATTAATTTTATTTTTAAATTATTTTGATGAGCTGAAATTAAAAATAAATTTTAAAAAATAAAAAATATTTTGAAAAACAACTTTTATTATTATCATCCCGGTAAATAAATTTTGCATGGTTTACTTGTACCGGTATCCTTGAAAAAGACCCATCCTAGTCTAGTTCATTTTGAAAAATTGAGTACTTAGAAGTTGAAAAGAAGTTGCCGGTGGCTGTGGGCTGTGGACTTCTCGACCGCAAAAAAGTTGCATCTGATATTTCCGAGCTTCTTCGGAGGCTTCTTTATGAGGTAGTGTTTTCTACATGGACTATAAGCGAATCCGCAACAATTTCCACGTCAATTGAATATCACATCTTTTGATTAAACGAAGTCTGATCCAGCAATAGGAGCATAAAATCTGTCGCCCCTTCTTTCCTTGTGGACGAGTCTTTTCCTTATCTTCTAAATGACACTGACAAGTAAAAATTGAAATAGATTTTGCAAAACACTTTGAAAATAGTAAGCAATGACTGAGAATTTGCAGATAGTATTCTTTTTTTTAATGCAGACAAGTCATGAAGGAAATGCATCTTATAATTGCAGAGAACTCAAAGATTGACAAAGAAGAGAAGGCTTGATGGGTACATATTCAAGTGTAGTAAACGAGGCCTACCTAGCAGCCTTGGAAGGAGACTGGAATCGGATGATTCTTGCTTACCATGGACAAAATTATGTTTACGTGATGCTTCCAGTGACGGTTTCAAAAGATACTTCATTTCACCTGGCAGTGTATAGCGAAAGGCGCGAGCCGCTTCAAGGTCTACTCGGTATTGTTAACAGAAACCCAACTCTCGGGAATCCCTTGACTAAAAAGAATACGTATGGAAACACAGTTCTTCATGAAGCAGTTGTTGCTGGAAATATGGAAGCAGTAAAGCTCTTACTCCAGATTGTCCCTAGAGAACAGGGTGAATTTCATCCTTCAGAGCAACTTCAGGCTAGAAATATGCTTGGCGAGACCACGTTGTATAGAGCTGCTTCATGTGGTAACAAAGAAATGGTGGAGTATTTAGCTAGACTGCCGGGGCAAATCTCCTACGGCAAGCTATTAGAAGATCACCGCAAGAGAGGGGATTTGACGCCGATTCTTCATGCTGCCATCCAAGGACAACACTTTGGTTTTGTTCTTAATCTTTATCTCTCTCAAATGAAACTCTTAAGACATCTTCAGACACGCATGCTACACACATTCAAATGACACTATACTTTCAATGCAGAAACTGCTCTGACGTTGCTGAAACTGGATCCATCACTTGGCGACATGACCGATGATCAGGGCATGACCTGTCTTCATCTCCTCGCTGATATGCCTAGTGCTTTCAAGAGTGGATATGCAATTCCCACAATTTCCATTAGGAAATTGTTATACTGTTGTATGTCTAATGCAATATTTTCTTTTCCTTTCCATTTATTTCTTTGATCGGCATTATTAATAAGCTAACCCCAGCTCGAACATCGGCTCTCAAGGCAAGCTGTTTAACCGATTGATTAAACACTGATTTTCCAGTTTTTAATTTTTTTTAATTTTTTGAGGATAGCATGTCAAATTGTATTGCTTACGCTACTTTAAATCCCAGAAGGTTTGATTTGACTTAAGTCGTGAGTTTTTGGCAGGGCTTTCCGCCCCAAAGGGAGATGGCTGCGACCAGAGCCGGAGTAAAAGAGGTACTGAAGATTGAAACTATTTTGCCATCTTGACAGCCTAAATCATAGAAGTAATTCCACTATTATATTGATAATACCATTGAGCTGACTGATGCTCCCTGGGGATCTTGTGGTTTTAAACTCAAGCAACCAGGGTTCAAAGCATTGGTACACAGAGCAGTAGAAACAATAACGATACTGCTCATGCAACAAAATCATCCTCAGTAAATTCCACAAGTATTTCGTGGAAGGACGAAACTTCCTGCTGTCAAGCAAGAATTGTTTCCGGCCTTATGCTTGGGATTGGGAGGTAGGCCGCCGGGCTGGCTTATATTCTCAAAGCCGGATTAATTGTCGACGTGGTGGAAAAAAATATTAAATTATAATTTTAAATGTCATTAATTCTTAAATCTTAATCCGTTCAAAACATTAAAGAAAGGTAGATATCTCAATTTATATTATAAAAAAATTAAAAAAAATGGTGAATGGTCATTATATCTTTCCTTTTCTTTTCTTTTTTTAGGTAAATTTTTTCTTTTTTTTTTGTTTTTATTTGTTTTAATATATATATATATATATATTTCATCTTTTAATATTTGGTTTGTTAATAATTCAACTTTATGATTTATTAATATTTATGTTTTATATAATTATCTCAGTCTCGTAACCTATGTAGTGGATTTGACGGTTTAATCTAATATACTCAATTTTTTTTTTTTAAATTTATTAATATTTATGTTTTATATAATTATTTCAGTCTCGTAACCTATGTAGTAGATTTGACGGTTTAATCTAATATACTCAAGTTTTTTTTTTTTTTAATTTGATGCTTTAACGTTGATTTTTTAGGAATTAAACTTCATGATTTGTTCTAATTTATTTTTTATAAAATTATCTTAGTTTTATAACTCAAATTATGAATTTTATATGTTAACCTAAGTAGATTTAAGTCATTTTATTTTCTTAATAGATTAGGAGATTATTCTCAAAGTAGATTCATTATTCAACAATGTATTAATTAAGAATTGAGCTTCATAATTTATTTTAATTTGTTTTTTATAGAGTTATTTCAGTCATATAACTCGAATTGTAAATTTAGTAGATTAACTTGAAATGACTCAAATTATTTTTTAATTTTTTTTATGATGTTATTCTAATGTCATGACCTGAATCATGAGTTTGACGGGTTAACCTTAATTAACTCTAAGTGATTTTTGTATTTTTTTAATTTTATCCTTTAATATTAAATTAATTAAAAATTATGTTTTATGATATGTTTTGATTTACTTTATGTGAGAGTCTTATACGTGGGTTTAGTATGTTAATTTAAGTTATTTTTTTAATTTTATTTTTTAATATTAAATTAATTAAAAATTATATTTTATAATTTATGTTGAATTATTTTATATATAATTATTATATTCCTGGATTAAAATATCAGCATCAATACACCAGCTATAAATGTAGACGCGGATCAAAACATCTATATCAGGACACCAGCTTTCAACATAGGTCTCCTTACCTTTTACAATTGTAAGAGCATGGTAAATTTTGGTATTTTTGCCCCCCAAACCAATGACTTACATGATACCACAAGATCTCTACGTGAAGCAGTACCATATCCAATTCTTTCCGAAGCCTGGAATTCTATATTAGCTAGTTATAAAGGATTAAAGTTTACCTCTGGAGCTTTCCCAATACCAAGTAAACGAGCTTCTAATTATGAAAGACTTTTAGTGCAGGTGTTTTTATCCAATCTATATTTCGAATTATTAAAGTTACTGCATTTAAATACAGTTGTTGTTATGGATAATTCAAATCCCTTATTGCCTTTGCACTATTTATTGCTTGAGTGCATGATACAAATTTGTCGAAAAAAGAAATCTACGAAAATTGATGTAGGAGTTGAAATTTGTACACATCTCACCAAAATTCAACATTTGTATAGTACTTTCTGTATACTCCTCCGTCCATATTTGCATAAAATTCATTATAGCAAGCTCTCTCTCTTTGTATATCTCACATATGAGGAAACATGATAGGCTGGCCAGTGGTGGAAAGAATCCGGAAAGAAAAGCACAAGCATGAATCTGCATTGAAGCTTGCCGAGGAGCTTATAAAAAAGAGCCAGAGCTACTGGTTGCAATCTATCAATGCGGAGCCCACACTGGTTAATATCAATACCCTTGATCAAAGAGCAAGAGGAGCACAAAGTGACCGACAAGGTGGGGGAGGAAGAGAAGGAGAAGTAGAAAATGATGAAAATGTTCAACCATCGACCGAAGAAAATAGAAGACACGAGACTCCTTCACACCCGTTGTTTGTAGCAACTAGTAATGGAATAGTAGAGATTGCTCAAGAAATACTAGATAAATTTCCTCAGAGTATTGAGCTTGTTAATCAAATGGGGCAGAACATATTGCATTTGGCTGTGATGCATCGACAGCGGGGGGTTTTCCGTGTTGTCAAGAACAATAACAGACTAGTGACCAGGATGAGCTCGACAATCGACCATAATGGCTACACATTGTTGCACCAAGTTGCACACATGAAGCACTATCACGGAGGAACCAAGCCCGGCCCTGCACTCGAGCTACAAGAAGAAATAAAATGGTTCAAGGTGAGCTAGCTACTATTGTACAACTGCAATCCCATTGCATATTTTTATGAAATACAGTTCTTTATTCCTAGCTATAAGTAATATTTGCTTGTTAATTACAAGGAAATTAAAGAACGTTTTTAATTTTCCCATATTCCAAATTACTTCAAAATCAGTGAAATGCAGCTTTTTATACCTAAGCTATAAGTAATTTGTATAGCAAGTGTTCCAAGGAAAATGTAATCCTATAACTAAGGACCATGATAGGGAAACCTATTTTCCTATAATTAATGACTTTACCAGCACTAATGGATTTGTTTTCATGTTTCTCTGTCCGTGCAGCGGGTGCTGAAGGTGCTTCCACCTTCTCTGTCCAAGAAGCGGGTGCTGAGGGTGGTTCCACCTTCTCAAGCATTGCAAGGTGACAACGAGAATAAATTGACAGCACATGAGCTCTTCCAAATGGAGCACAAAAAACAACTCAAGTTGGCGCAAGATTGGAGCCAGAAAACCTCTCAGTCATGCTCAACAGTAGCCATTCTTGTGACCACGGTTATCTATACTGCCGCTTACACTATACCTGGAGGTTCTGACGTTCCAGGCTCTGCTATCTTCCATCACAACCGTTTCTTCTTGGCTTTCACTGCCTTGGACCTTATCGCCATAGTAAGCTCCCTCACCTCAGCTGTGATGTTCCTTTCTATACTCACCACTCCTTTTGAATATGAGAAATTCCATCAAAGTATTCCACGGAAACTGAGCCTTGGCTTCGCTTTACTCTTCCTCACCGCTATGACAACCATGCTTTCTTTCGCTTGCACCCCTTTTCCAATCATTCGTTATAAGAAGGAACTAACCACGGGTCTGATTTCGATTGCTGCTTTCCTTCCAGTGACAGTATTTGCACTAATGCAGTTCCCTTTATATGTCTCATTTCTGAGCACTATGAAGGACTTCTTTAAAGAAGCCAGGAAGTCTCTAAATTGGTGTTGCAGCCCTTTTTGGTGCCAGCGTTGCAGGAAAGGGAAGACCAGAAGAAGACAAAGGGCAGTTTGAGAAAGTGAATGTTTGCTTCAATAGCACGGCAAGAGATACATAAGATCTCGTAAATGTGTAAGCAAGAAGACAAAGGGCAGTTTGACATGCTATGTTGTTGTTTTTCATGTTGTACTTTGCTTTTTGTTTTTAGTTTTTTCTTTCTTTCTTTCCATCTCCATTGGTCCAACTGGATCAATTGCAGATTGGATCACTCCGTAATCCATAGAGGTCGTACTGCTTTGCTATACTGATCAAAGTAGAAGCAAGAGCATAGTAGAAGTGGAAATTACCAATTAGTCCACCTAGGGTAGTAGAAATCAAGCCAAGACATTCAACTGTTACTTCTAGTACTAGATGACAGAGTTTGAAATTCGTATAAGCGAATCCATCGCATGTGGACACCACATTGGATAGCTTAGATCTGCCCATGTCCTCGTGAGCTATCGATGCAGTTTCTCGTCAAATTATGAATTTAAGTTGTGGTTGAAAAGTTTACAGTGCTAACTATTGGTCAAAACAGCAGAACCCAATGGTCCGTGCTCATTTGAGAAAGATTACTAAGGCTTGATGGTATCAAGAGAGCAGATCCAATTGGTCATTTGATTAACTTCTCTAGAACGCTCATGGACTCTGAATACCCGCCATCATAAATGATAAGTTACAAATGGTAGATCGGTTGCCCCACAAGGGATCCCGTATCTCCCTATGAATACAATAGTATCGATGAATTATGAATTATAAATTATAAATAGCTAATTTTGCAGATGCATGCATGCTATAGGCAATCTACTGACACAACAGTTAGTTTAGCATTAGAAGTAAAACTGAGCTAGCAGAAAAATTCACATGATGCTCTCCGCGCTTCGTCGTCAATTCTACTCCAGAACCTTCAGCTGTTACTGGCTTGTGCAGCTGCAATTAAACCAGATTCTCGCGAAAGATACATAACAAAGGTTACTTGATCAATACCCTTTTATTCATAAAAAAGGCCATATTTTCAACAATTTATGACACAAGTCCATTCCTAAAAGATGGATTTGCTATGCTTTTTAAACAATAACCGCTGCATAAAAATTAGAATTGGCCCAAACAAAGATATGAGAAATCTGGTTTAAGTATTGCAGGACAACGCTTCTGCACAAAAAAATAAGTAGTAACTTGCCAATGCCTCTCTTCCAACGAGGCTAACTGCAAGAAAAATGAAGGATCTGAGATCAGCAGCTCTTTACTAGCTTGTGCAGCTGCAATTAAAAACAGAATTCTCAAGAGAAATAAATGCCAAGGGTCCAATATTCTTTTATCGTAAAAAAGGTTAATGTGTTCAATAACTTAAGATGCTGGTAAAACCTTAAGCAATGGATTCTCTATGTCCCTAAAAAAAACTGAAACATCTGGTTTAAAATTTTGAGAGACAACAACACCTAGCCAGTGTCCAGTTTCCAACAGGGCTGACCGCAAGAAAGATGAAAATTTTGAACTTAATAGGATTTCTGTTAAGTCAACCAAAAGCCCTAAACATAAACTAATCCTGTTCTCATCTCTTTACAGGTTAATTTGCAATTATTGACAATTTATGCCCGAAAAAGAAACAACGTTATTTGCATTCATCAGCAATTTAGTTCATACACGTTCACTCAGATTAGAGTGTAGAATGAGGAAGAGAGACTTATCCATGCATCCATCTCCTACATGACAAAGGGCATTGGAAGAAGACTTAATTACAGCTTCTGCCACAGATAATCAATGGAGGGAACGCACAAAAGCATCATCTTTTGAAGGCAGGCTTACACTCTCAAATTTCGTAGTTATCTCCCAGATGTTATCTTCAGATATGTCAGAAACTTTTCTCTTGCCAAGACTCTTCTTTCCCATGACAAAGCCTGCTGCCAACAATAGGAAATAAGAACTTAGAATTGTTCTGAAATATTTCATGAAGTCATCCACATCAGTAAACCAAACCATTCTAACAAAATCAAAAGCATACAACAACAAACCAAGCCCCAATCCCAACTAGTTGATTTCTTTTGATTTATGAAAATAAAGAACATGCAATATATATATATATATAACCTGCCTGCTTAAGATCTCTCTTGATATTGAGAAGCACAGATAGGTCACAACCATCCTCTAGACTGATTTAAGAACTTTTTTGAGAAGACACCATTTAGCCTCCAAAGTGTTTAGAAAAAAACTGGGAGAGAAGATGGAGGGAAGCACGGTGGAACAAAACTCTTTTTCATATCATATTATTCGCATAAGAGAATTACCATTCTCCCAATACATATATTCATTTTAAGGTTTATTCTAGAGACTCAAGGGATAACTACATCATTACTCAAGGGATAACTACAATATCATTAGGACGTTGCATACATGCACTTACAATAACTAAAAGGATTATTTGGATGGAGACTTCAAAATTATTCCAATACAAAGTAGTTAATTACTGCTATCTTAAAATTCAAAATCTGGGTTTTATGTCTACGAATGAAGTCAAAGTTCTCATCAAAGTTTTTAACCACTCTATACCCTAGTCTATCATACTAAAACAAAACTCTTGTATCTATATAAATAACTTTCACATTCCAACTCCAATTACTACTAAAACCCAAAACATGCTATCCCAATAAGGTATACAAAAACAAAATAAAATTTTTTGATCCAACATTGCAGCGCTGCCAATTTCTCATGTAATCATATGATACACAAACGAGAGAAGAAATACCACCCTTAAGAGGGGCTTTTACGCAATCTATCACAGAATCGATAAACTCAAATTTTTTTACAAATGTAAATCTATTTTTCAATTTATTTTTAACTCTTGATAAATTTATTTACGATCTTAAAAAAAGTCTCACACTGACTTGACTTGCTGGGCTTAAAAGCTCTTGACTTACCATCTCAACGATGTCTAGCTATTTCTTTTATTTTTTTTAATTGATGCATTTTTTTATATGTATTTTTCAAATTAATTTTTTAATTTATATTTAAATTAATGCATTTACTTAATTTTATTTTGTTTTAGCCTTTTTTAAATAACAATTATTATTTTATTTATTTTATATGCATATAATTTTTGAAAAAATTATTCTAATTCATATATAATTTGTTGGTTTTATGTTTTATATAGATAAAAAAAAAGATTTATTTTTAAATAATATTTGTAACCTTACATAATATTATTTTTTATTTATTTTATTCATGCAATATCATTTGATTAAATAATATAGATAAACAAAATATTGAACTGAATTAAGTTAGAAGCCCGTGTTGTGAGGTCACACATCATCTTGATGTATATGTGTTTCTCAGTTTTTATTTTTTATTTTCATCTATATTTATCATTAATGACTTGTTTTTCTATTTAGCAGAACTTGTAGCTCCCAGAAAACAGCTATTGGTCGATAATAATGCAGCGGCCGCAAGGTGCTATAGAAGATAAGCCAGCGAACAGGAATGCCCCTAACAGAACTCAGCTCACTGAAAGCAGCATTTTATTGATCTAGATGCATAAAATTTCCGTGGTTTTCATGTACATTATTCTTTCTTAAAGACACCGGCAACTACATCAGGGCGGCTGAAAAGTTCTTTTTGAAAACTCACCTAGTACCATCAATTGGTTCCTGAACCGGTTATAACGGCGGACATGCCTGGTAAAATGAATAACAAAACTGTGCAAAAATGATATGGCACAACAAATTGCAGTGGTAACAAATACCCCGCAAATAAATTTGTGCAATCCATCGAAAATTCCCCAACTCGCTCAAGAACAGAAATGGATCATTTCTTGGACCCATTTGTTAGTTTTGAGGGCTTATTTCAATATCACAGAAGCAGCCTGCGGATATCACTGAAATTAGCACGCAAAGCTGATAGGAATGCACCTGCAAAGAAAATAGTTTAAGCTCAAAAGTTGTTGTGAAGTTCTGCATATAAACATGCCCCAGGCAGCAGTCAAGCTGCCCAAGTAGCATGTTCGAAAATGTGCTACATGATAAGAGGTCAGGGGAAAAATAAACTGAAATTACCACCCATTATTAATTTCATTTGTCCGTTAGGAGGGACAGGGAGAAAAACCACAAATTCAAAAACTGCCCGTAACTAGTTGGAAAGCTCATGCAGGGGAAAAATAAACTGAAATTACCACCCATTATTAATTTCATTTGTCCGTTAGGGACAGAGAGAAAAAGCACAAATTCAAAAACTGCTCGTAACTAGTTGGAAAGCTCATAGATCTCCAAGATTCGATGCCTTATGTCCCCAGATTACATAACAGCATTACCTCAACGCCCTAGGAAGAACTTGTCCAATTGGAGATAAGGCCTTTTAGCAGTATCCCTGCCTTTGAAGAGGTACCCTCATTTAAAGATACCATTAAGAAGGAGGCGATCCAATAGAATCCAAATCCTCAAATATGCTCTATTTTGAATTCGAATTCGAATAACGTTCACAGCATTTTTCAAAATACCTTCCCTAATGAAAGTAAAGAAATTTTGAGAATTACAGACCTGAGACTTGGCCATCAAAAACACGATGATCAGCAGATAAAGTCAAGTTCATTTTGTTGATAACTGCAGGCCTCTCAATTCCTGGTAGAAAGAAAGTTCAAGTTATAGCACTCAAAGAAGTTCTGGTACTCGAAACCAACAAATATCAGGTGGCAGAACCTACAACCAGCAGATACTTACCATCACTTCCAAGTAGTGGTTCAACAACTTTGTTCCCTCTACCAACAGCAAGTATGCCAGCCTGCAATAAAAGAGATCTTTTATATACTATACATCTACGGGAAGCCAACAATGATGGTCGTAGTGTATCTCTGTATTTTTTTCCATGCCCACTTCTGATTTAATCAACACCAGGACAAATAAAAGATCACATGTTTATGATATTGCTGTTTTAAAAATAAAGACCACATGTCTATGATAGTTCCATTTTAAAAATTTAACAGCAGCAATATTTTCCAGAAACATGGAAGGTGTTTGTTCGACATAAAAAAGGAATGATATTTGACTAAG